AATATAATACTGTTCAATAAAGTAATGGTAATGATGCTAATATATATAAAATATCTAAAATTATCAATAGACACAATAGAAATAGACACTGTGAGTCAGCATAGTGATAAAAATCTTGATAGTCGAACTGACCAAAAGCTGGACTGACATGCGATCTCTAAAGTCGCCAACTTTTTTTATATAAATCTGATAGCTTGGAACACTTTTTAGATAAGACTTAGAACAAACTAGTCAAATAGAAAAGACACAGAATGTAACAAACCGTTTCTTCTGCTGACTACGAAAATGTTGACCCCATTCAGTTGACCATTTACACTAATCTTACAGATCGGTGTTTCCACTTCAGGTCTCTCGAGTTGCTGCTTTTTTTCTGATTCTGGCAGAGAACGATCTAAATGCAAATCTGTTATATTGGCCTGAACGCCAAGGTGATTCTTAAGGGATCCTAGGTGATCTGAACTTAGGTCACCAGAGGCGACAAACGAAGGAACAGATGATGGGGATTCAAGCTTGCTGATGGGATCGAAGCCAGACAATTGAAATGGCTGGAGCGAAGTCAGGTGATGTTTTTGAAGGTGATAATTGTGATCGGGTCGAGGTATCTGTGGAATATCCAGATCAAGAGGAGTCCAGCTTTTGTACAGTCTGACCAATTGGCGATGCCAATGATCAAACTCGGTGCAGGGCAGTTCGAGCTGAAGGCCAGTAAGTTGGAAGCCGAGCTGTTGCCGATGGAACTAGACAGAAGTAAAATTGAATAGGGAAAAGTGCTAAGATGACTTAAGTTGATATATATTGATATGAGTTCGTCATCAAGTAATTATAGGGCCAAATCTCAAACCCTTAGTTATCAAAACTATTTCAATAATAGGTCCCTCAGAGGACCAGTCGAGTATAGGTTAATAACTCCCAAAAAAACTTGTTCAAATATTTTTATATGGAATAATTTATTTTTAAATCATCTAGTAGTCAGACAGAAATTTATTAAAAAGCTCATCACCATATAGGCCATGAAGAGAGAGGCCAATTTAGACCAAGACACCTAAAAACTTAGGTGGATAGGATTCGTAGGCTGATATTCAAAATAAAACGTTCCCATGACTTGCAGAATTACGATTTTGAAAAAAATGGCTCCCTGTGATTGTCCCAATACGGGGTGATGTTTTATTCCGTGACATCATGGCATAGGATTTTATAGCCACTGCGTAGAGATAAATCTAGGAAATATGAAGAGTAACTGGGTTTCGACGAATCTCCTGAGATATTATTGTTGAGGGGACTTTCATTTCGTATGAAAGTACATGAAGAGCGCAAACTTTCTCGATCTCATTCTAATTCCTAGGTTCCGAAGCTGCTTATCATGTTTCCTCTAGATACTTCTGTCAGTGGTCTCTCCTAACCAATCGGCCATATCTTGTAACTTAAGGAAATAAATCTCCACCGTTCACTACTTCAAAAAAGGGATTGCATAAGCCTAGTTTTGGTCCTAATTAGTTAATAA